TGATGTGACCTGTAGAAAGTGTACCTGTCAGGCTGTGCTAAAAAATCTTTTTCTCCAGCTGTTCCACAGAAGCAACAATTGGCTTCACATTGAAAGGTGCATGACTGGATTTTTGTAATGAAATACAGGAATCTCGCAAGCGCTTGAAGCATTCACTAATGCGACGATCATCTGGTGCCTCACATAAGCTTTTCGGTTTGACCAGCTCTGTTTTCTGAAAGAAATATCAAGCAAAATAATTAGAAATAATGAAAAAAAGAAAAAAACGGAAAATCCGATGCCGCTCTACGTGAACAAGCCGACAATGATAATGCACAAATCACAAGTGTGACAATGTGAATGTGTAAATACCTGCTGTGTTGCAGTACGATAATGCCAAATACAGCTAAGATTGTTAAAAGTTTTTCTTTAAACAAACCAAAAGAAAATTTTACTCCTTCGCACTTTTGAAATGTGTATGAAATAGCGACAGGTAAATCTCCATGCAGTTGTTTGATATGGAGAGTTATACTATTATCTGATTTATCTGCTTTCCTCCTTTCAAAATGCTGTTTTTGGTCCATATCACAGTATCTAAAAACACTGCATAAGTGTTTTGTGACAGATGGAATACCGATATCATGCATTAGTTTTGTAATTTTTAAAGCGAATATCATGCTCCAGTGATTTAAGGAAATCAAAATCTTTTTTCTTTCTTATATCCTTGCGATTACCATTGCGAACAATCTCAACAGCAAAGCCAGTGGACAGCCATGATGTTGTTAAAATGCATATATATGACAAAATTTTATGCTAGGCTCAGCAGCAGCATTTCTCTAAATTATCTCCTGCATTATAAAGAGAAGACCGTTTTTAGAAAGTATGTCCGAGTGGCAACATTATTTCTAGGATCAATCTTTGGCAAACAAAAATACAAGAAATTTCTTTACCTCGCTCAGTACATCATATAGAGTACCATAATTTCCGGTTAAAAATTAATAAAATAGATTGCGTTTGCACTGCAAAAAGAAACACAGTGTTTTCTAGAGGACGTAATCTTTTTTTTTTTTGATTTTAAATCTTTAAAAATTCTCACGAAATCTCCAACGAAGTAAAAACGTACTGACAACTCAAAAAGGTATTTTCGCCTTGCTCTTCAACTATTAACGCTTTTGAAAAACGCAACACAAATGGTATTGCAGTAACTTCCGAATACAGCCAATCCAAAATTACCTGCAGAGAAATTTTTAACAAACGACGAAACCATATGTTAATTAAGCACAATTATTCTAAATCTTAAAAATGACCTCGGTACCTATCAAAAAAATGTTATTTGAGAAGAGAACACGGTAATAAATTTTTTACATTGAAAAGACGATGGGTACTAAAATAAAGCATGCAATTCAGGCTCAAAGAGCATGACGTAACTCTATCTGGCGTTTGAGAGCATCTCAGTGAGGTCACTAACATGCAATCTTCACATCAACTATTCAGGTCGTCCGGGTATTCCTCGTATTGGTAGCGCTGTTGTTATAGCCAATAACTATGGCTGATTAATTTTGTACATCAACGTATAACTGTGCACTGTTCTATATCTTTCAGGGAATTTTTGCTATCAACGCTGTACCACTACGGCAAAAATGCGGCAGAAAAT